TGTATTTGAGTGGAAATCCTCTTTCAAGTGCATGAACAAAATAGATTTTTGAACCCAGCAGAAAAAAATACGTCGTAAGCTTAAACATTCACGAACATCATAGCGGACAAAAACTCGAAGCTGTGTTGTATTCCAAGAGCTGGTGAGCAAGATGGAAAAAAGGCGATTAAAACGGGAAAGAACTCGATTACCCGCGTGATTTTCCCTTCTGGCAATATTCTTGCTGACAGATTTTAGTGGTTTTCTGCAGCCTCAAAAGTTCATCACACTAAACTCATGAAGATAAACAGATATGAAGACAATCATGTCTTTGTCACGAATAATGATGCATTTGTTAACGACTTGTTAACATAGGAATGTGCTCTGATAAAAATGTTGCGAGCACCATGTGATGATTCAGTGAAGGTGTAAATCGTTTTCTTTGGTGTTAGCAAGTGCATTGACCTGGAGTGTTTCCGGTCCGACAATGTGGAAAAACCACACCGTACTAAGAATGACTTCATCGTTGCAAGCTGGACATCATCATCGGTGATTCCCAAGTGACTCTCCGTGCCCCCAGGCGTTGGGTAGAACTTACAGCGGCTCGCTATATGCCACCACGCAGGTGCTACAAATATCTGCGTCGGGGCCACACTGTATTGCGCTGCACCTCCAGGACCCACCGGTGTGCAGTGTGTGCTGGTCACAATGAATCTAAGAGGTGCCTTGGCCTCTACCACACTGGGCACACTGTGGCAACTAAATGCCTTAACTGTAGTGCTCCTGGCGTGATGGCAACTCACCAGAGATGCCCAGTTGATGTCTGGCTGCCCCCTACAAGCAGTACTCCGCTCTATAAGGCGCCACGTAATGATGATGGAGTGTCATTATCGGTGGAAAGTTGTCCTCTAGCAACAACTACGGTGGGCCACATCTTGCACTCTGACTTCTCGCTCGCCCTTGACTCACTTTGGACAGGGAAACAGTGGCGAGCATCTTTGCCCACTCATCTGGGCACCGGGTGCCACAATACACAGTTGCCAGGTGTGACTCGCCCCGGCTGGCGGGGTAGTAGGTCTCCATCCCCTCCCCCCCTGGAGATGGGGGCCGCCAGAGGCAGAGCCTCCCCTCCCACCCGCAGTCAACCTCCTAGGGTGGGGAGGTATCTGTGAAGGCGCAGGCATTTAAATGCTCTGTAGAACGGCAGCCTCCGCTACAACATAAAGAATCGGAGCTACAGCACACTTGGGAACTTGAGTTAGAAGAGATTCGCCATCAGCATGAAGCAGCTATGGTAACAGTTAAACAGACGTATGAGCAGATGCTGAAGGAAGTACAGCAGCGCTGTCGTTGTCATCGCGAAGAACATAGTGAGTATATGAGTATAGTGACCTGGACAGTAACCCACAGTCAGCAGCCAGGACTGAGAGCAGTGAAGTGGGCGAGGCTCACACACCTGGTGACTTAAATGCCACCACTCGTCTAGCTATTGGGTTTGATATATCGCAGCAAGGACCCGCGGAACTTGAAAACCTATTAAAAACAGTGTTCCCAAAAACCTTAAAAATAAGTGTTAAAGAGTTCATAAATAACTGTGTCGTTGACAAAGAAACGAGAGAGTGTATTGCAGCTGTATTGCCTTGTAGCCAGCTGCATCACAGAACTCAGAGAGATATCAGGAGTGATACAAAGCAAAGCAAAGGGACAGTAAATTACACAGACACACTTAAAAGCTTTCGGGGACTAAAAATTAGATATAAACTATGGATCCCACCAGAAATTCCCCCAATACAACGGTGCTTCGTATCCTCAGTTGGAACATAGCATCACTCAAGAAAAGACTTCCTGATCTCCAGCACAAGTGTCGACAGAGCCCATTGATGTCGTTTGCCTTCAGGAGTGCAGAGTTCCCACCAGGTCTTCACCCCCTCTACATTACCCTCCTTTGTTGTCTATAACCTTAAATCCAGTCACTATTGTATTTTGTGTGTTAAGAAGTTCCTTCCTCACCAGCCATTCCCAGCCAAGTCAACTGAAGGATATCAGTATCATGGTGTGAGGATCTACGTAGGGAACTCTGCCCTCAATATATTTGACTTGTATGCCCCCTAGTGATAAGTTTAATTATGCTGACCTTCCTGTCTGTTTTCAGACTGAGCCTCCCATCATTATAGGTGATTATAACGCTAAGCATAGGAATATTGGTAATTCGCAGTTCAGTAATCGTACTGGTAACCAACTGTTGTCACTATTAGGTAGTCACGATGATACACAGATTGTGGGTGACCTTGAACCGTCGCATATCTACGGAGGGATTCTTGATCTATGTCTCGGTTTCAACATCTCCCAAACCGTCTGCGCCTCGTCAATTGTGCCAGATATGGCGTCTGATCATCTGCCCATATTAGCCACTGTAAGCATTGGAAGCTCTATCCTTCCCGGCGGAATGTTCAAACGGAAGAGGCTGGCTGTGCCCATCGATTAACGAGACTATTTTGTTGCTCGTGTGTCAGAATGGTACCGTTGATCAGAGCCTTTTTCGGTTGAAGATTTTAACAATGAGCTAACAGGTACAATCGAGCAGTTTATAGAATCACTTGATCCATCGTCCAAGCCACGTAACCCAAATTACACTGGTCAAAGCACTTATGCCTATTATAATGATTCTGAATTGCATGCACTAAAACGCACTACCAGAAGGATTGGACTAGCTTATAGAAGGACCCGCACTGCTGAAATGCTTAAGCTCTTTCAAACGCCTCTGGCTGGGGTCAGGGAGCATATGGTAGAGCTGAGGCAGACAGACTGGGAAACTTTTGTCAGTGGTCTCAATTCTCACACGCCATTAAGTCGGGCATGGAAGAATATCAACAAGATCAAAGGGAAAAATGCAGCAGAGATCTCGTACCCTAATCCCCTGCACAGAGCAAATGAACTTGTTGATGCCTGGGCCACAACCTCCAGCTTTGACAGTCTTCCTCTATCCACACAGAATGAATTAAATAATATATATGCTGATAGAGCAAGGCTCCTTGACTTGTTGCTTCATCAAGAGGATGACTGTGACATGCTTTTTACTGAATACGAACTAGACTCTGCTCTACATAAAGGAAAAGTTACATCACCCGGGGAGGATGGAGTTACTTACGGCATACTGCGTATGCTTCTGCTAGTTCCAGGGAATCCATTGCTTGAATTGATAAATGAGCGATGTAACTGGGGAGCTTCAAAAGTCATGGACCAACAGCCTTATTATTCCCATTCCCTAACCTAACCAGAAGAGTGCTTTTCGCCCAGTCTCCCTCACTAGTTGTCTCTGTAAGTGTCTTGATAGGATGGTTCTCAACCATCTACTTTACAGAATTAGTAACATGTTGTCTCCCCAGATCTATAGCTTTACGCATTGAAAATGTGTACATCACTTTATTACCACATTCCACACCCTGCATACTGATAGGTCATATACCACTTTCGAAGATCTTAAGTCATCCTTTGACATTGCTAACCCACACGTCATTCTAAGCGAACTTGTTAAAACAAATTTTGGAGGATGGCTTCTACCGTGGATCCTAGTGAATAACGGGTTAGTTTGTTCAACAAAACCATTGAAGAAGCCGTTGTTGACTAGGATCCTAGTCAACAACGGCTTCTCTAATGGTTTTGTTGAAGACATCACAAGAAGAAAGGTAAAACGCCATGCAACCTCTGAAGAGTCAACCAACACAACACCTATACCCCCTATTAGACTATTTTACAGGAACTTCTTCTCGATAGCTCATAAAACGGAGGAAAGAGTCCTGAAAGATATTGTTGATAGTAACGTTATCCCTACAGACAAAAAACAGAAAATACAATTGAAGATTTACTATAAAACCAAAAAAAACGCCAACCTACTAATGAAAAACTCTCCAGACACAAAGCAGAATGCCTTGAAGGAAACCAACGTTGTGTATGCCTTCAAATGCCCACTTGGGGACTGTAAGCCCCAAAGAACTCAGTATATAGGCAAGACAACAACGTCTCTTTACAGGCGATTAACAATGAATAAACAACAGGGCACCATAAAGGATCATATAATCTCCTCTCACAACCAGACCATCACCAGAGAAGTCTTAATCAGCAACACAGAAATCATCGATTGGTACAGCGATAGCAGGCGGCTCGACATCTGCAAGGCATTACACATCAAGAAGTCAACACCAGCAATTAACAGCCAATTAATGCACAACTATATTCTACCCACTTCAAGACTCCGCACCAATGTAGAAGCATTAAGAGGACGTTTGGGCCAATAGGCCATCTGCAGTTAATTCCATTCTTATGCTCTCCTATCCAGTTAATACCCACTGTTTCGTGTTCTGTCTTGTATTTGTCACAAGTTTGTTCACCTCATCCAAAACTGTTGCACCATATCACCTCACCCAAATGCGACTATAAGTACGACGGATTAGATGTTTAGTGTTAGTATAAGTATGACTCCGTTTAGTGTTTTCAGGTTACAGTTGTGTGTGTAAACTAAAGTCTTAAAATAAGTTATTACGAAACGCGTTCAAGCGTCGCGTCAGACAAGAAATAAAAATGAATTTTGGAGAATTGGTTTTTCAATTACCATCGACAGTAAAAAGAAACATAAGAATTATTGAGAAAATTCGTGTTAGAATTATCAATCTTACTTTTTCGGTCATATTTAACAACATGTTTACAAGAAAGACTGCTACCAAAATATACTAATATGCGTATGTATATATATGTATATTTATATATTTATTTACATGTATGTATGAGTATGTGCACATGTATATATAACATCAACAATTGCGTAACTAGCGACAAAAGATTGTTATTTGATTAGCTAAACGAACTAGGGGGTTCAGTTCCAGAGGCACATAATCGGTTCAGTTCCATAACCGATTATGTGCCTCTGTAACCCCTTACACTGCCACCCACGGATGGGTATGTGGTGCATAATAAAGAAACAAATTGAATAATAATGTTGACAGACATTCATTTCTTCTCTACAGTTGTTGAGACAGAAGTCCGGCCCAACACACCCGTTGAAGAGCACGTGTACGAGGACTGGGACACTGTAAGGATGAGGGACGACGCCCGCGCCTCCGCCCACGTCAGCGAGAACAGTCTTTATATGGACTATCAGGAGACACGTAAACAACTATAAGTTTATACCTTCACTGTAGATCAAGCAACAACACAGCATAAACAACTTTAATTTCGAACGCTTAAACAAGAACAATGAAGAACAACGTGAAGCACACTAAAAACAAGACAGAACACCAGTACCAGTGATATGTAGCTTGAGTATACAAAAACTGAATACAAGTGATAGGAAGAAAAGTTGAAAACAAACTTTATTAATAAACAGCTTTAGAAAATACTAGAAAATACTGCAAACAGTAATGACAATTTTTTTTAACGTATAAATAAAATTATACAATCTTGCTATAAGTAATGTAAACTCAAATTATTTCATGTTTAGTATTTTGTCCACTGTATGGTAAGGATAAATCTCAAAATGTATTCAAGATATTAGATTGCCATTAAGGGTGATAATCATGATTCTTAAAAACGAATTAAAAAAAATGGATTTGTAGCTTTTGAGGTCAAGAACGGAACTGATTGCAGCATAAAAGGTGCAAATGCAAGGTTTACCATTATAGATAATGTGGTGTTTAAATTGTCTTGAAATGACAATTTCAAGACACGGCTAACAGACAATCCATCATCTTTCAGAAATTCACAAAGATTCCGCTGTTAGAGACTACACAAACAAGGCTCTACCAAATACCAAATCATTTCAACATACAAAAAGACCTTTTCCAGATATATCCTGAAGAGCATCCTTAAAAATAGTCAACAGATAAAACGATAAAAGCAGCATAGAAATAGCTGAAGCACTGCATATCAAACACTCATTGAACTATGAACAGCTTACAATTAGGTCACCACCATCTGAGGCCAAAACTGAACTAACAGTTTCCACCTCACCTCCAGCTCCAGCCGATCACAGAAAATGCAGTACATGATTATAAAATCCCCCTGAGGTGTAATAACTCTCCTTTATTCATCCACCACTTAATACTTTCACTTTACCTTGCCTGTTGAAAACGCTTCAAATAAAATGCGTCATTTAGGCTCAACAACGTGTGTAAAATGAACATTTGAAGAGAAAATTGATTTAACTTTCCATATATAGAAAAGAATTCAGGATATTTTGTCCACTAGGCCTACAAATGTAAATTCAGACGAATTTTTAGCTAAGGTTAATGATCAAGTCACCTCTGTAATATTTACTATAGAGACTGAAATTAATAAATGTTTTCCATTTTTAGATATACTTATTCATAGGGAATATTTTTCACTAAAGTTTATTGTTTACAGAAAACCTACAAATAATTTATTTTATGTTCATTATTTCTCAGGGCACAGATGCAACGTGTAACAATAAATTGTTTCCTCTTTGTATCTAAGAGTTCTTCGAATTGTTAGCCCAGAATTCTTGGATGAAGAATTTAGGAATAATGATTTTTTTGGTCTCAAGTTTTGTTATCCATTGAGTTTTTTTGGAAGTTTGCCACAGCAAAGTACATCGTATAAATTACAATAATATATGCAGTGAGAAAATTTGGCCAAAATATATGTTATGTTTACCATATTTTTCTGGGTTTGAAAATATTGTCAAGGCCTTGAAACTTTTTTATATAAATGTATTGTTTAATTATGAAAAACTGTTGGAAAATTATTAGTTAGAAACAGTCATCGTATCGAGAACGTTGTCATTTACAAAATACATTGTAAAGACTAATAGGTTCTATGTAAGTCAAACGTCCAATGATTTGAAATTTAGAATTTTGAAAAATAAATAATCCGTAGAACAGCCAATTGTCTATTACTTTGTTGGTTCATCTGTCAGAAAGTTCTCACCCAAATTGATTGGGCGAGGGCTTATCCAATAACGAATTGTACAAATATTTTCAATAGAAACATTATTGAATTTGCTTTAATGCAGATTACAAAGACATGCAATTTGAACATTTAGTAGTGGTTTGTATAATTTAGATCCATTTTTGATTGATCAGTTAAGAAACGATTTAAGTAAGATCATTCATACACATGTGGGGAAAAGTGACTCATAGGATTTATTTTTAAATCAATTTATATTAATGATTTTTTATATATAATTTATATTTCATTTATTTGGTAATTTATTTCTTACCTTAATTTATTTGTTTCTATAACTGACTGTATGATGTTTAAAGTGGACTGTTCGATTTTATTTGCACACAGCATGTCCTACACGACCTGATTTTTGTTTATAATGTAATAGTCTATCAATCGGAATTATCAATTGGTAAACAATTCACGACAATGTTACTAGGTGTTAAGACTACATATGTTAGTAACTACTAGGGAAGCCTTATATGATAAGAAAGCTTCATTCTGCATTAGATTGGTGTAGAGTAAGTGTGTATCCAGCCAGTCTCGTGGGCTCTCATCATTCAGTGA